GGCACTCGATAAAGGCAGGTTAAATCTGTGATTAAAAGTCAAAAATTCGTATGAACTTGAGTGTCTGTAAAATTTATTATCCCATATTTGCTAGCTGTCTCATCTTCTGTAAGAGTTTTTTTTTTTAGGTATTCTGGATATGTGTTCTTAAAATAATGTGGTAGTGGTGCAAAGATAGGGAAGAACAATGAGAAAGATTAGGGGGTCTAGAAGCAGCCCACCTGATTTAAGGCACAGAAACCACTGAAAGGCAGTGGGGAAATTGTGGTCTTTTCAATAAAGTGCTATGTCCACTGGGCCTCCATGTGGGATAAAATGAACTTGGACCCTACTCCTTATGCAAAAATTATTAGCAGATAAATAGTGAGTGAAAATGTGAAAAGTAAAATAGTAAACTTTTTAGAAGAAAACAGAATATTGTTATGACAGTATTCAAAAGGCAGCAACCTCAAAACAGCAGCAACAACATCAACAGCAAAACAAAACCAGATGGACTATCCCTATCCAAAATGCTTGGGGCCAGAAGTATCTCAGACTTCGAATTTGGGGAGTGTGGGTGGGATATTAGAATATTTGCATTATATACTGTACTTATGGTTGAGCATCCCTAACCCAAAATTTTAAAATCCGAAATGCTCCAATGAGCTTTTCCTTTGAGCATCATGTAAATGCTCAAAAAGTTGCAGATTTTGTAGCATTTCTGATTTGTGGTTTTTATAATTAGGTATACCCAATTAGTATTGAGAAAACACATTATCTGAAAACTTAGAATGCCTTTTTAAAATATATCATTAAGATAGTGAAAACACAATACGTAAACTTAGATAAGAAATTTGCAATACATATATCATGCATGATTTCAAAGCTAGCTCAAAACTTCTTTGGAATAAAAGGGAGTAAAACAAAGAATAACTGGCATTAATTGGGCACTTACTGTGTATTCAGCAGTGTGCAAAGTGCTTCATCCACCGTTATCTAATTTAATCCTCATGAAAATCCTCAATGGCAGTTGTTGCTAAATCCATATTTCACAAGATGAGGAGTCAGTGGTGATGGTGCAGGGAGTTGTGCTTAGACAGGTTAAGTAACTTACCCAAGCCCACAAAGATAACAAATGGCAGCCAGGAGTTAAACTATACCCCACAGCTCCTGTATAATTTCAGAGACTGAGCTCTTAACCAGTGCATCCAGCCAACAATCTTTTCTTCCATCTTTCCATCTGTGTATCTTTCCTGCCATTCATCCTTCTATCCATCTATTCATTATTCCTTTCTTCCTTTTTTCCTTTCATTCATCCATTGTGATGCAAGGACTTAAATTTACATCCACTATTATATACTGCCTTGACACCTGGTGGAACTGGGAGGACCTCACATGGCCTAATTCCAAGTTTCCCTCCCTACTCTGTTGCCATAATAAGGCCCCCTAACCAAATAACGCTACTGCTCAAGGGGTCCAGGGGCAGTTCCTGCTTATCCCTGAGTAACAGGTTTCAGTTCTCTGCCAGCCCACAGAAATATTTAAATAAGCCAATCACATCCTCCTGCAGGAACCAGAGGATACTCTACTCTATCTCTCTTTTTTTTTTTTTTTTTTTTTTTTTTTTTTTTATACAGAGTCTCACTCTGTTGCCCAGGCTGACCTCTCTAGGCTAAAGCAATCCTCCCATCTCAGCTTCCTGAGTAGCTGAGACTATAGGTGTACACGACCACACCCAGCTTTTTTTTTTTTTTTTTTTTTTTTGGTATTTTGTAGAGATAGGGTTTTGCCATGTTGCCCAGACTGGGCTGGTCTCTAACTCCTGGGTTCAAGTGATCTGCCCTCCTCAGCCTCCCAATGTGCTGGAATTACAGGTGTGAGCCACTGTGTCCGGTCATTCTACCCTCTTGACACTACAAAGTCTACCTCCCACAGCCTCTGATTAATCATTTTGTTCCCAAGTGCAACCCCCTGTGTGGCCTTGCACAGTGTGATAATGCCTACAGTTTTACTTACACTTTTAAACTGATGTTTTGTTTAAATGTACCATGAAAATATCACCTTTACACATGCAGATTTAAGGTCTCTGACATGCTCAACAATGCCAAGATGACAGGACGGCAGGGAAGGTACGCAACATTCTGGCAAGGCAGCAGTGAAGGCTTAAGAAAGGTGAGCTGGGCAGGCGTGGTGGCTCACACCAGTAATCCCAGCATTTTGGGAGTCCGAGGAAGGAGAATCATCTTGAGCCCAGGGATGTGAGACCCGCCTGGGCAACAGAGGAAAACCTGGTCTCTACATAATATAAAAATAAATTAACCAGACATGCTGACACACTTGTGGTCCCAGCTACTCAGGAGGCTCAGGTGGGAGGATTTCTTGAGCTTGGAAAGTCAAGGTTGCAGTGACGCGTGACCACGCCATTTGCTCCAGCCTGGGTGACAGAGCCAGACCCTATCTCAAAAAATTGTTAAAAAGACAGATAAAAGTCAGCTGGATTTCCACCAATAAGAAGAAGATGCTCATAAAAGTGATGAATGTCCTTCTCCTATGGGAAGGACTGTGAAGGGGGCTAACATACACGGAGTGACTCCCCACCAGCCACAGAACAGGTCCCCATTAGAAGCCCCAAGAAAGGGCGGCTCTGAACCTGAGACACCCTCAGAGCCTTGGCACCTAGAATCCCTCCTGGCCCAGCCGAGTCCATGGGCAGGAAGATTTCCGTGGCGGGGCGAGGAACCTGACTCCAGTCTCGGGTTGGTGCCCCAGCCACCGCCCCTCCTCTCCTCCTCTCCTGCATCACAGGAGGGTTATGCACTTCCAGTTCCTCAGCTGTCTTCCTCCCCGACCTTGAACACTGGGAAAGGTGGCTTCCAGCTTACTATTTCCCCAAGCATAAATTTAAATTCATATTTTGTCTTTTCTACTCCAAGAAATAGAAAACTTAGAGATGAAACTTGAGAGAGAAAATATTTTACAACACTCAAAAACTGTGAGCCTAAAAATGCTGCAGTAAACCACATTTGAGGAGGTCAAGTTTCGCAAGCCCTCTCGTTCAACTGGCAACCTCGCAATTGTCATTCCATCGCATGGGTTCAATAGTCATGCAGTCCCAGGGCTTGTCAGCCTGGGATATATACCCAAGGACCACGCCTGCGACCAAGCACCATGCTGTTTATAAATTCTCCAGGTAATTCTGATGCCAACACAGGGTGAGAACGCTGAGCTGTGCTGAGCTTCCCTAATTAAAGGTGAAGCTAGGAAGGCCCAGACATCCCAACAAAGGGTGAGCCTGTGGCCCGCAGTCATTTAGGATGGAACTTGCTTTGACTTATTCGGATCCGCGTTTTCACTCCTGCACAGCATGCCATAGCTCTGTCACAGGTGAGTCAGAAAGAAGGCCAGGAACGTTCATCTGCATCTTCTTAGGAGAATGGCTGAACTACCAGTTGCCTAGAAAGGCCCATACATTTCCAGGGTAAATTTATACCAGATATAAAGTTTTTGGCAACAAAGTCACAGGAACAGTAAGCGTCATATAAAAGGAATTCAATTCTATCCCACACCACAAGGATGGCACCGGGACAGAAAATAACGTTTTTTTTTTTTTACTTCTCCCCAGTCAACCAAAAATTGAGTTGGCCTACAACTAAGACACACACAGAGATGTGAGTTACACACAGTAATTTTAGGAAAGACAATATAATAAAATAAAAATGAGGAATCAGAAACAGAGAAAATGTTTTTAAGGATAAAAAGAAAAAATATATAGACAGAGATACTGAATGAATCATGAAGTGTTACTTGTAGATGCTTAGAACTAAAGAAAATAATACCTAAATATGTATTAAAGGGGATTCGATTAAATATATTATGAGATGTCTATATTATGCAGTCATGAAAAATGAGGTGGCTTATGTAATGACATAAAATCATCTCCAAGGCAAATGAAGACAATGCACGTTCAGGCCATAGCCTGCACCCTGCTGCCACCCTTGGGAGAAGAGACCCCCAGCAGAAGCGGATGCCTCCAGGGAGGGAGCCAGGCTGGGCAGAGATGGGAACGAGCTGACATTCGTGATATATCCCTTGTGTATGTGTGCGTGTGTATATATATACACACATATATGTATACGTACATGTGTATATACACAGATGTGTGTGTATATACATAGGCATATATGTACACATATACACATATGTATGTATATGTGTACATATATATAATCTCCAATTTCTTGAATAAAAATAACACTAGGACTATCGTTTAAAAGAGGTCTATATAATTTTTAGAGAAGTAGAAATTCAAGACTAAAAAGAGAAAAAACTCAAGTAACCTAGAGACCTTAAGGCCATGAATAAATCATTTAAAAATTTCCTTCCCGGCCTATGAAGAAAAGGATGGGAAAGGAATAGCTGAACTCAGGAAAAGCCACCTGAAATGAACACTCGGGGATAACGTTCCCAGCCCTGTGTCTGGGCCATTCAGAAACTGCACAATTTGTGAGTGGCAGCATTCTTCTCTGCACCCCCAGACACTGGAACGCTTTCTCCTTCACAACAGGAATGTGGGTCTTCAAGGTGCCGTCTCTGGGCACTGCCCAGTTCCAGTGGGCACACTGTCTTAGAGCAAAGTCCACACCCACACAGCCTGGCCGGGATTTCCACCTCCTCCAGTGTCTGCCATAATAGACTCCTTCCTCTTTGGTCACGGGCCTACATGGTGGTGACGACAAACAGTACCTTGATGTAAGAGCTATTTCCTGGAGACAAAGTATGTTCTAACGCTGAACATACTTGTTAGGCAGAATGGCACTCTGAATGATTCTAAACTATAGACTCTTCCAGCAGGGACCCTTGAATCAAGCCATCTAAACAAATTCCCACATCTCCCCCTCGAGTCTGTTCTGCTGGTCCTCTGTCATGATCACTCTGGGAACACTGATTTCTATATTTTCCCCTGGACTTTCTCCCTTTACTCTCCCTGTTTAAGCAGATAGACAAGCTGCACGCTTCCTTACCTTGGAGGAGGTTGTGGCAGAGGGAAAGAAGAACTTGTCTGCAACAAACTTCACTTGCCCGATTCCGATTGTGTTTTCCCAAAGCCCGCTCATATTGGAGATTGCATCTGGTGGCTGGAAGAGGATGGGAGGAGCTGTCAGGACAGTGCCCTGGGTGGTTGGGAAAGTGATGGGCAGTGTGAGTCCTGGGGTAGAAGCCCGGCTACACGCTCAGCTGTGTGGCACCCAGAGGGGTGGCAAGGCCTGTGGTTTGCCCAGGGAGCTCAAGGCTAACAGAGATCACACGCCCTTCTCCATGAGACCCTAAAGGGAGGCACCTCTCCTAATGTCAAAGATGGCAGTTCGCAGGAATTTAGTTGCGGGGAGGGGGTTGTGGGTCAGAATGACGTTGATTTAAGGATGCACAGATAAATTTGTTTCTTGCATACCTGAGTATGTGGGCTGTAAGTCCTGGCCAGCCACTCAAAACTTCTCAACAACTGTTTCAGAACAAATCTGACATCCTCTTGTATACTTATTCTCACGAAGTAGAACTAGAGAAAAAAGAGAGATTTTGGAAGTGGGTCCTCTTTAGCCTCTCCGCATGTTTCCCAGTGGGAAGAGGTAAATGAGGCAGAGGCATACTCTTTTCTAAGCCCTCACGCCTGCTGTTTTCCAGGGCTTGTCCACTCCCACTATAACTTTCTGTTTTGATCTGTTTTTTTATTTCTATTTTTAAATAGAAGAGGCTTGGCCAGGTGTAATCCCAGTATTTTGGGAGGCTAAGGCCAGTGAATCGCTTGAGGCCAGGAGTTCAAGACCAGCCTGGTCAACATGGTGAAACCCCAACTGTATAAAAAATACAAAAATTAATCGGGCATAGTGGCACATGCCTGTAATCCCAGCTACTCAGGAGGCTGAGGCAGGAGAATCCCTTGAACCCGCGAGGCAGAGGTTGTTGTGAACTGAGATCACGCCATTGCACTCCAGCCTGGCCAATAGAGCCAGACCCTGTCTCAAAAAATAACATAAAACAAAATAAATAAATAGGAGACACTTCAGGCAGAGCCCTGAAAGGTCAAATGAGAGCTTGTGAGCACCCAAAGGGCAGGGTCCCAGCCTCACCCTCTGGGTCCCCAAGTTTGACCCAGGCTCAGAGGAGAGCGGGCTCCAGTATGGTGGATTTGGAGGACAGAGGAGGTTGTGCTTTTTGGCTTCCTGCCTATGTGTTTTATCTGTGAGACTACATCGACCCTCCTGGAAGAAACAGCAAGTCTTCCAGACAAATCCAACTGTCCTAGAGAGCGGAGGACACACTGGGGGCCTGTGCAGTGCCCTTTATGAAGGGGAACTCCAGAGTTCCTGGTGAGAAACAGCTGTAGGTAACAGACACCGTCTGCACCCCCGCCCCCTGGGGCTCATCATAGGGGTGGGTGAGGTCCCAGAGAATGACTTGCTGGGACTGGAAAGGTCCCACTCACAGCCCTGGACTGTTCGTTCTCAAGAAGCCTGCCATTACATGGGATAAACTGCTCAAAGATGACAGCTTGGAGATACGACTGAGGCTCCTCACTGCCCTTCTGTCTACAGAAATGACGTGACAAAAAGCAGGCTGGCTGAGAAAAGACGAGATTAGACACTAACTGCATTTCCCACTAAAAAATACAGAAATTTTGCCATGAAACCCACAAACAACTTTGCAGAAGTGGATGCTGTAGGCGGGATTCTGGTGGGAGCTGGGTTGTGGGAGGGAGGTTGGAACTTCATGCATCTATCTGCCCGGTTAATGGGATTAACTGTCATCATTTTTAACTTTCCCTTCAAGGGAAATTTGACTGGAAAACCGTTCCCCAGCTCTGTAACCCAGCCTCTGCAAAACAAATGGGACAGGCTGGCTACTAAGAATACAGGGCACACACCACTGCCAATGCCCCTCCCTGGGCACCACTCTGCCCCATCCAACCCTCTTCTACAGAGGCTCCTGATGGAAAAACAAACACCACCACCTGTGGGCTAAATACCAACTAAAAATTTGTTTCTTTAGCCTGCAACCTTTTTAAAAAGAGTAATTGCATGTAATTTCTCATCAAATGTCAATTTTGGTAAAATTACTAGATGTAGCAGAATAGGCCCCATAATACTACATGCCCACGATCAGAAAGGGCTGAAGTGAAGCTCTGCTTTTAGACGGGGAATAGCACCCCACCTGGCCATGGTCCCCACACTCCCTATTGCCCCAGTACCTTGGTCCACTTTGTTAACTTATATTATTCCCTGACCCCTATAGGCATTTGGGACTGTGACCTCTGGGGTCCTGGAAGCAGAAAACCTTTCAAGACCCAGCTCTGTCGTGGTGTGGCAGGATGACTCTCCAGCAAGCATTTAACCATCAACTGTAGGCTTCCCAGCTCTAACAACAGCCATGATATCTCCTGCTGATACCTCGCAAGGCAGTAGTGACACTAACTAGGATGGGCTTGAAATGATTTTTGAAGATTACAAACAAGTTTATTCTTGAAGTAGGGGAGCAAGCACCTTTTGCCACCTTCGATTAAGTGTCCCTGTGGATGTGGCCTTAGGGCACTTTCTTCTGATGAAAATGCTGTCCTATTCCTCCAGGTCTACACACAGGGTGGCCTGGGACACACCCCGGTCAGTCACCTCCGTCACAGGCCTTTATGCCAATGGTCTCTGCTCAGAGAATTCAAGGTGCTCATTTGAAGTCTGTTGAGTATGAAATGGATAACTTCCTTTGCTATTTGAGTTCACAAACTATGACCCTTTTATGTGAAACTCTGAAGACCAGCAGACACCTGGATTCTGAGAAAGCTTTCCAATTATTTTTTTCTCAAAGGACAATTCTGAAACTTACTTTGAAAGGATCTAGATTTCCAAAGACAGGGCAACGATGTTCTGAGAGTAACTGAGGCTGGCGAACATCTCCACTGGAGGCAGCTAACTGCCTCTCACACTCACATTAGCTACACCAAGCTCTGTCTAACCCTCCATTTCGTCATCGCGAATCACTACCTTACAAAATAAATGTACAACAGCCCTCCCCTCAAGCCCTCTCCAACTCCCATCCAGGTCCCGGCCAAAAGTCAGCAGAAGCTGAGAGTGAAATGACAGCTGATTATGGCAGCTGGGCTGACACTGTCAGTGAAGCTACTAGGTCCCACTAGTTAGTGGCATGGCTTTCGTTGCTGATAAGAAGGTACGCTATAGCTGATGCCTAGACCACTCCCATTTGGACTTAACAGTGCTGCTCTTGAAGTGGTATAACGTATAATTAATAGAAAATTCCAGACTGCGGGGTATAAATGTGCCCTATATAAACGTGTATACAAACTGTATATAAACAAAATCTGAATTTCACAAATGTATCGTTTTGTTTAAAATTCCAAAACGAGTTAGTAAAACAGGATTCATTTGGCCCTAATTTTACATATCTAGGATCATTAGCTTCTTCCTAGGAATGATTTTAGAGAAGGAGGGAGGAATTAAGAAAATAACTAGAACTTTGAAAGCAAGTAGCTGCTCCCTCGTTGAACACATATTTGACAATCCAGTTTATGTTCATCCCTGGGGATACAGCAGTGCACAAGTACAGGAAGTTTCTGCTGTTCCAGAGAAAGAGACAAAAAAAGGTCAGTAGATACATAATTGCACAGCTAATAATATAGTGCTGAGTCATCCTAATAAAATGATCAAATGTTGGCTCCAGCCTAGTCTGAAAGGTAGGAAACATGGTCAGACAAAGAAAAGGACTGATGGCTTGTCAAATCAGTAGAAATTGGCAGGTAAAAATTAAGAATTGGGAGTAACAACCAGATGTGAGTTAAAGAAAGCACAAGCCAGCCGCAGTGGCTCACATCTGTAATCCTAGCACTTTAAGAGGCCAAGGCAGGCATATCACCTGAGATCAGGAATTTGAGACCAGCCTGGCCAACATGACGAAACCCCATCTCTACTAAAAAATATTCAGGTGGTAACATTTCAGCTTTTAGAAGAGACTAGGGGCCGGGTGTGGTGGCTCACACCTGTAATTCCAGCACTTTGGGAGCCCGAGGTGGGTCTATCATCTGAGGTCAGGAGTTCGAAACCAGCTTGACCAACATGGTGAAACCCTGTCTCTACTAGAAATACAAAACTTATCCAGGCGTGGTGGCAGGCATCTGTAATCTCAGCAACTTGGGAGGCTGAGGCAGGAGAATTGCTTGAACCCAGGAGGCAGAGGTTGCAGTGAGCTATTGCACTCCAGCCTGAGCGGCAGAGTGAAACTCCATCTCAAAAAAAAGAAAAGAAAGCACCAGGTATAGGAAACAGTGTGTGCAAAGGTCCTGGAGTAGAAATTGTGCTGGATTGTTTAGCAGAAACTGCAGTTTATCAGTGAGCCTGAGACAGGGCTAACAAGGGTTCAGTAGGCAAAAGATAAGGATAAAGAACTAAGCAAGGTCTCATAGGTGAAGGTGAAGAGTCAAAATGATGTTCCCTCAGCCTTGGAGAACCCTGAAGCTCTGAGCTACAGAGTGGCATCTCTACTCTCTTTTATTTTTACTTATTTTTTTTTTTTTTGAGACAGAATTTCACTCTTGTTGTCCAGGCTGGAGTGCAATGGCAAGATCTCGGCTCACTTACAGCCTCCACCTCCCAAGTTCAAGCGATTCTCCTGCTCAGCCTCCGGAAGAGCTGGGATTACAGGCACCTGCCACCACGCCCAGCTAATTTTTGTATTTTTAATAGAGACAGAGTTTCACTATGTTGGCCAAGCTGGTTTCAAACTCCTGACCTCAGGTGATCCACCCACCTCAGCCTCCCAAAGTGCTGGGATTGCAGGCCTAAGCCACCGCGCCTGACCCCTAGTCTCTTCTAAAAGCTGAAATGTTACCACCTGAATATTTTGATTTCAATCATTGTTTCTAATTCTTCTAAAGGTATAGCAAAAATATTTTTTAAATATGCTTGCCTTGCATCCATTGCTAACCCCAGTTTCCAGCTCTCTTGCCAGGGCCTGGAAAACAGTGGAGAAATAGAAAGAGAGCGAATGTTCACTTCACTGCACTGTGGCCCCACTAGGCACGTGGAGCAGCATTCACTCTCAGGGCGGGGAAGACCGTGAGCATGGCAGGTGCTCCTAAAGCTGCAGAGCCTGGGGGTGGCAGGGAGGCACAGCCACCCAGGGGAGGCCATCTGGGCTGCTCTCAGAACACAGAGAAGGTCCACAGCCTGCCATGGTGATACAAGGCAGGCAAGGCCCCAAATTGGGGCTTAGCCTTAGAAGGCTCTTGGCTTCTTGCAGGAATGAATTAAAGGGCCAGCCTGTGGTGTTAAACAGTAGATTCTCTTGAAGCAGACGTGCACAGCAGCATCAGAGGCTCTGCTCCTCATGGAGTGGGCTACCCTCAGGCAGTGTGCCCAGAGCAGCAGCTCAGAGGCAGGTCTGTACTCACATTCATACCCGCTTTTAATTATATGCAAATTAAAGAGCAGAGTATGCAGACATTTCAGAAAAAGGGTGGTAAAGGGATGGTAAGTTTTGGATCATCC